CCCCCCGCGCCGTGCCCGCCCGGTCTCTGGGGCCGGGGTCCGCCGACGCCTGTGGGGGCCATAGGCGTCCTGCCCGGGGGATCCCGGGGGTCCTGTGCACGGCCTGACAGTCCTGAGGCGAGAGCTCCATGGCGGAGACGTGCGAGGGTGTGTGTGGTGGGCACACACCATGTGCGGTGAGCGCCCACCGCCTGGACACATCTTGGTGGGAACGGCCGTCGCCGTAGCGCGGCGGAGGTGGCCGGGTGGAGGAGGGTTACAGTAATTTCCTGAAGCGGTCTGTTGGTTGGGTTTGTTGTTTTTGGGGTTTTTTTTAAATAAAAAGCAGAAATGCTCAATGGATCCTATCGTGGCCCAGGTTGGTTGCTGGGAGGGTTCAGACCTGCTGCTGGTCATGTCTTTTGTAGTTGCTGTGTGCATTGGCATGGAAGTGGGGGGAAAATGGCGTTTTTGCCGTAGATCTTGCAGGAATTTTGAGAGTTGGGGCACATCTGTCAGGACAGGGTGTCGGAAGACAACTGGGCTTTTTGGGGGTTCCCAGTCTCTGCTCTGAGGTGTCTCCCTCCCATCCCCTCGTGTGCAATGGATGGGAAACTCAAATCCTCAGCCAAGTCTCTGGTCAAAAGTCATGAGACGAGTAAAATCTCCGTCTTTAAAAATAGTGTCTTAAAATAATATGTTGTGTGTTACTTGGTTTAGAGCCTGGAATTTTCATTTTTTATATTCTCGAGCTTTTCTCCAAAACCCAAAGGGAAATAACAGAACTATTTTTTTCTTAATGAAAGCTGAGATTAACATCTAATCATCTTCAAAAGCTGAGGTTTTAGGAGCACTGAATGTTACTGACTTATGTTAAAATGATAAGTTTGGACAACAGTGCTCTCTTTCAAGTGCACCTTTGAAGAAGTTTGGCTGAGGAAAACTGTGGACCCAATGGAGAAGTCTATGAAGAGACAAAATCCATGAAAGGAATGAAATGAGAGGAGGAGATAAGACCACACGGAGGCCTGGCCAACTGAAGTAGATCCCATACTGTGGCCCTGTTTAGAGACCTCAGGAGGTATTTGACAGATACCAGCTGAAGCACTCTTACGCCAGAGGGAGAGGTTGGAAAGAGCGTTGTCACTGAGCGCTGCCCAGATGTGGCTGTAGGGTTAAATTCAACATTGGTCTTCCGGAGAGAGGGGCATGTTGATTTTATGTTCCTTAGCTCGCTAGCCATTGCTGGAGAACGCATTGCTTGTGTTTTAGCCACTTCACCACTGCAGTATCTCCTCACATGTCCATCGCTCTGTCCTTTCATTGTTCTTGAGTTCTTCTTTCTCAGTCCTCCCTCTCTCCAGGTGCCAACACTGCATCTATAATTCAAAGATTTGGGTAGAGATGGCAGGAACATTACAGACAACAGCATAGACCCTGTGAAGGCACCTGAAAGTGAACACTAAAGAGCGAGACTGAGTTTTCAGGAAGGTAAAGTTGCCTATCATTCTTTGCTGCTCTGTGCCTCAGTGTTCAGGGTAGGGGTGAAAACCCCTTCCCACCATACAAGTCTGTGCCACTGTCTTTACAGCTGCCTGCCCTGCTGCGCTGCCCTCACGCTGCCTGGAGAAGAGCCTGGCGTTCCCTTGTCAGTCGCTGCTTTTGTTACATGTGTGTAGCCTGCTGCTCCCACACCCCAGCTCCTGCCTTGATGACTCTGCAAAGAGTATGTCTGTGGTGAAAGAAATGCAGAATCCCTTTCCTGTAGCTGGACGGTATCGTATGGGCAAGTGGCTCTATATAGCCATCTGTGGTGGAAAAGGATCTCACAGAGTTGCGGTTTCCCCCGTTCATTAAATATTCTCAAGAAGTAAGAGCAGTGTTTGGAGCTGAAAAGAACCTAAAAGATAACCTTTAAGAGGTACATACTGCTTCATAAATTGCAGGGAGAGTTCTTGCCCCCTTCCCCCGAGTCTCCTTTCCTGGGGGAGGAGATACCCCAGCAGAAACGCAAATTGCTGGAGGAAGCAGCTCAGTATTGCTGGGATGGCCCAGGCCCTGGCTCCTGTGCCAGGGGACTGGGACGCGCCGTCTGAAGGTTTCTTAAGATCCCAGCTGATATGAAGGTGTAGAAAGGGAATGATTCGTATTTCCAGGTGTGAAGAGCATGCCTTAGCCAGATCCTAGCCCACACCTGGAAAGTTCCTAGAGCAGTTCCTGCTCCTTTCCTCCTTTGTCACCTCTGGTGTTGCTAGTCATAGGAAAGGCTTTTCCTTCCCCTAGGCTTTTCCTAGTCACGAGGAGGGGGTCCTGAGAGACAGGTCTGTTGCTAGCAGACCTTCCTCCCTATGCTGCAGGAAAAAGAGAATCAGAAAAGGGGCAGTGGCATGTGCTTTGGCCGTCTTTCATCAGCTGAGCCCTGACTTGGATCC